CTGCAGCCCTAGCATTGGAAGGTTTTTCCTTTGTGTCTGTGACTGTGTCCAGCCTCCTCTCTCTGGTGTCTGGCAGCGATGTGGTTTGGTATGTGAGGAATGTGTCCTGTCGTAGGTTAATCCAGAAGAGAGGGGGTAGGGTGGGCCAGCTGAGGGGTGCGGAGTGAGAACTTGGAGTTGAAGCTCACAGCGGTCCTCCAGACTCCCAGACTACCCTGATTTTAACTAGAGAGAGTCTGATAATTGATTTGACCTGTCTATAGATATCATTTATAAAAGCTGAATTTTAAGCAGTTATTACTCCAGTCTTCAGTGTCACATGATCCTTCTTAAATTATTCTAAATGGCTGATTTGGTGATTTTTCTTTAATAAGAAACAATTCTTATTATTAATTTTGAAAATTGATAGGGAGTTCAAAAGTACAACAGAACATTTAATTGAAACAGAAATGTTTTGTAAAATTATACATGTCTTTATTCCCACTTTAAATTGAATGCATCCTTGCTGAGTGAAAGTATTTAAAGGACAAACTATTTATTTATTTATTTAGTATTAATGATGATCATTTGTGTGGAGACTGGTAGTTATTCAAAAGATGTTAGTCAAATCAAATACCATTTTAAATATTTTTTTCACACATTTGCATGTTTCTATGCAGTATGGAATTTGATTTTTAGTTATTTATGTCTGGATATGTGTGAAGAAAAAAATATATATATTTGTGGTTCCAGACTATTGCCCCTATTCTGTTTTATAAAATATGAAATTTATCATTTTTAAAAATAAATGTATCATACAAGTGTGCTTTTCATGGCTTATGAAGTTTGGCGATATCTATATTGAATAAGTTTGTCTCTTTTTTTATGTTTGCGGTCACATACTTTTTTGTTTTTGAAGAATTTGGGTCAAAAACATTTAATTACACTGGAATCATTGGCCCGCATATCTTCCAGAGCAGGTTTGGAACTAATCAATGAAAAATTTAATGAAACAGGAAGTATACAAGGTACGATCTGCTGACCATGCCTTTTCATATTACAAAGATAATGGTAGTGCTGGGCAGTATGACCAAAAATTTATATCACTGTATTTTTCAAAATTATACCCGTTTCACGGTACATGACGGTATTTTTTTTTTCATGCATGACCGGGTGTTAACCATATTTTCTACTGATTGAGAGAGGAAATACTGCAGTATATTGACTTGGAATGCCCTATTTTACTGTCATGATGAGTGAATATTGTCAAAAAATGCCACACTAAATAGTGACTAAACACGACCCCTTTTAATACATGTTAACCAGGAGTCACTCTCATTTATAATCGCGGCATCGTCTGATAAAATCAACATGCATCTACACTAAAGAGCGGCTATGTGGTTGTTTTGGCTATATTACTTTTTTGTGTCATGCAGCGCACTGCCTACGTCTGAGTAACAAACAAAAAAAAAACAACAAACAAAAAAGTGCATGTGAAAGTTGCTAAATCTAGTGCTAAAGTCGTGCTCGTGTGTGTGAGACGCGGGAGCTGATGGCAGGGGGCGGTGGATATTTGTGGCGTTCAATGTGGATATTGTGGATGAGTTCTTCTGTGTCGTCACGTTCTATTAGTTCTACAGCTTCAGTTTCGGAACTTTCACACTTAGTAACACATACAGCTGTTCCCTCACCACAGTGCAACAGTGAAAAGGGACGTTGTTTAAGCGACATACACCGGTATTGCGGTATTTTAAAAATTCATATCATAACTAAAATAAACACCGGTATTCGGTGTGAACCGGTATACCACCCAGCACTAGATCGTTGTGAGTTATCTTTGAATGCTTGTTTAGAGCTCCATTATATTTTTTATTATTTCCACACATTCGTACGGCTGTGCCTGAATTATGCTGGAATCTCTGTAATCAGCCGTTTGTTATTCAGAGAAGAGTTGCTAAGGCCTTGACAAAGGATGCAGTGAAAAGAAGTCAAGAGCCCTCTCTTCACTTGATTATATGCTTCCCTTTTCTGCAGCTGTGCTAGCAGGTGAGGCCATTCTTCAGAATCCTTGGCTGCCATATCTGTGTCTCTGTATCTGAGACCGATAGTGTCATGAATGTTCACAGTGGTTGATGTACGCCACACAAAAGGAAGCGTCTCCACCCTGGAACCTGTGGCCTAAAACCTGAACCTTTTATCTAAAACTTTGTCTTTGAACATGGCATGTTTCATAGCTCTGCTTATGACGACATCAATCCAACATTCTGTTCTTGTTGACATATTGAGTTATTGAGTCCTTCTGTTTTCTGCTATCTAGCTTTTAAACAAAAGATTTTCTAACAATTGTTGCATGCATGCTTTTATGGCATTATCATTCTTTTCCATATTCTGTTACACGTTTGGCCTCTTATGAGGGCGGGTTCTCGAGTGTTAGACTTTTAGTGAGTCCAGGTGGAGGAAACCCCATACTGAGGATGTGACCAGCTGTAGATCCTCTTCATCCCAGACAGCCCTGACCTCCTGCTGCCAGAACAGGAAAGCAGTCAGCACTATTTTATCTTCAGGCATCCTCTGTTCTAGGGATATGCCGGTATCAAATTTTCATGTTGCGATTAATTGCTAATGCTTTTATCACGGTATGCGGTATTATCACGATATTGAAATTTAGTTTAAAAAAAGTGCTGTCATAATACAGTATAACAGGTTTAATAACTTTTTTCTTATAACAAAAATAACTGAACATTTAAATGCAATAAAGCAATAAAGAAAAATGTATAAAGTTTTACACAGATTAAGCGCAAAAGAACTATAAAGACCAATAGGTATCACTTTAATTTGTAATATATAATTATTCACGGTATTTAGAAGTGCCCACGATAACAATATTGTGCATATGCATTACCGTGATATATCGCATTACCGAATACTGGCACAAGTCTACTCTGTTCCCATAGGTGAACCTTAGTCAGATGCCCCTGTGTCTCATTAGAGGACTTCAGAACAGAATCATTTCCATGCCTAAAAGCAGGAAGCAAATTGGTTGTGGCATTTTAAATGACCTCACTACTTTTTTTAGGAGCTTGATGAATCTTCTCCACAAGTCCTCTGAGGATGCTAAATTATGTATAAAACAATCATAATTCTGACTGCTTTGGAACAGTGATCAGTCAACAAGCAGCACTTCAAAAGCACAGCTGGTATTTTATTTTAATAAAGATCTTGGATCGATTTCCTGCAATCTCTTCACACCGAGAGACATGCAACAATGCTAATAAAGCTCCCAGTACAATGTGAAATAAAAGATCAACTTTATTTCCTTTGGTCATTGAATTTTGTGCTGTGTGAATATGCCTTTTCACACTGTAGGTACAAGAAGAAATAATGATATGAATCTTGATCTAAAGTAGATCAAGTGTAGTACAAACAGTGCTGAATGAGTTACATGCCAAAATGTCATGCTTAGTTTAAGAAAAAGTCTGCACAAACATTTTAAAGCAGTGACTTGCTCCTGAAAAGAAAAGACGTCTGTGGCCACCATTTTTGGGTCGGGTTGACCAAGTTTATCTTATCTTGTACTTCTTGGTTCCACCAGACACACACAGATGCCTGGCGTTTCAAGGATGGCCTGTTCTCAGCAGCTATCTGATACTGCAAGAGCAACAGTTTAACAGTGACATGAAGTTATTTATCCACATCATTAGCAACATTCTGCAGATTCGGGAACTGAGACACCACACAAATGATCACTTGGAAGAACTCCCAGGGTGGGTGTGTTCGTTCACCCCTGGTTTACAGAAAATGTATTCAAATGAATCACAACCCTTTGGAAGAGGATGCAGATAGTTATGCTGTAATAAAATGAATACATACTTCAGTGTGACGCACAAAAAGCTTGACGAGTACTGTGTATGTGGTTTTGTAACTGCTGTACAATGCGGAGGAAATCATTTACTTTGAGCTTATTGAATCAGATGTCCTGTATGAGGAGGAGGCTGCAGGACATTAAGTAGTACATTTAATCTGCTGATTTGTTTCCATTCAGATTGTTCTTTCTCTGGGCATGACCTGAGCCCAGTGTGTCCTGACACTGTGGCCAGTATTGGCCAGTCTCCTAATACTCAAACCCAATTACCTACAGTCCATATGCATCAGTGTTTGATTAAAGTGAGCTGATGTTACACAGATCAGTGCATCAAAGCATGTCAGAGGCTTTCTCAAGCATAGGATCATGTTCATGCAAGTATCTCTGGCATATACCTGAGTTGACATTTAATTGTTTGTGCCTGGGGAATGTTTTGGTCGCATTGAAGCTAAAACATCAATATCAGTAAAATGGCAATCTGTATCATATAAGAAATATGATATATGCCTTTTTTTAAAACCATCCTCAAATAAGCGGTCACATGATGCTCCTATCTTCCTCTTGCAGTGGTTTAGTATAACTGTGAAACGGTTTTGCTCGCTTTAGAATTTTCCTATAAAGCCTTCACTTTCAAAGTTGCGAAATCATTCCGTTTTGTGGAAGACCAACCTGTTTATGAAGTGAGATTTACAGATGAGTGGGAAACCTACTTTGAATATAGACGAGATGTGACATAACGAGTTTTGCAGATGTTTTCTGGCTTGCATTTTAGGCCAACACAGCGTTTTCAGTTGGCACTCATTTTCATTTTAACTGAGCCATCTTTCTCTCTGCTGTGTTTTCTTACACGGAAACTTTCTGTCTGTTGAAAAGACAGAATAATCATAATATGCAGTGTTGAGTATATACAAATATGACAGCAGATTGTAATAATAGTTGGGTAGGAATAAACCATAAAATAGGTTTTTAGTGTCTTTTGCAAGATTGCATCAATGTACATGTGTTGTTTGTTTCTGATAAATCACTTTGTGGTGAAATGTTTGTCTTTTGCTGTTTTAGGTTCTTTTAAATGTCAAAGTGGATTGATTTGAATTAAAGGCTCAGGTGAACTGAACTGAAAATGCTGACCCATTTTTTTTCTCTGTCTCCTTTTTTGCAGATCGTGAGGACCAATCAATTCTTTGCACGTGAGTAACCATTAGGTGATCTTTATTCAGCAGTTACAGGTTACGTCAATCAGTCGGGGCTGATGGAAGTGATGTCACATCCCCAGTGCTGCACAGGAATGGGCTTTTTTGGAATCATACATGTACAGCTATGCCTGAAACCATGAGTCATGTATCATTGCGGTATTAAATATCAGTAGCTGCAGCTGTTCGGCATGAAGAGCATCTCACAGTGTGAGTCAGACCCACGGCAAATATTTCTAGTCAGCCTATAAGAAAATGCATTAAGCCTGAATTATTGTCTTTGCACATTGTAAATAAGTAAACAGCCTCTCTCATGTCTTAGTGGCACTGTAAGAGGTTATGAGAGTGGGTTTTAACATCGTCTCTCAAAGTCGATACCTCTGCAGCACATGCCATTCTGCACACCCACTATGAAGACATGTCTATGTAGCTAGAATGCAGGGTTAAGGAATGTCGCACTTAACAGCTTATAAATGAATGAAGACAATTTATGGCTTCAGAAGAAGTGAATATAGTGTACAATCATACAGACTACTTTTATTATGCTTTTTATTATCCTTTTTGAAGCTTGAAAGCCTTTACTGTTTTACAGAATCTTCTAGTAGATTCCAACTAATAGCCTACGTCTTGCTAGTTTTGAGCAACATGAGGATATTTTCTTTTTTCACAATGGAATAAAATGCAGGAGCTTTAAGAGATGCTTTTAGAAGATAGGCTGTTCCCATGACATCTTAAACTCAATAAACAGTGGGATGCTATGCATTTGGCAAAGATGTCAGTCTAATCATCTATCGCTGTAGCTGGGGTCAATGTATATAGTGCTTTACAATTCATTTTGTTATAGCGTACCTGTATTGTATATGCATTTGAGGTTCTCATAAAATACTCTTCATTAGTTGTTTAGAGAATGGCATATGCAATGTTGGATAGAATGGTGAAATGGTCATTGTATCAGCTCACAGCAGGCACATACTGTGCAGTAATTCACGAATGTTTTGCAGAAAAATTAAGACAGGTCGCACCACAGCAATTATTTGCACTCGCACAAATGCTCCCAAATATAATTTGGGGTCGCACAGACTACATTTCGGGAGCAAATGTGACCAAAATGGTCGCAATTTCACCAAGTACAACATGTTTCTGGATCAACATCCTTGTCGATCCAGGAACATCATTCCAATTAACCAATCAGAATTGAGAGATAACTTTTCAGGAAATGTCAGTTTTAGGCTTACAATCAGGATTAGGTGCTTCTACACCCTTGTTAATCAGCTATCATGTCACACTGATTTTAGGAATAAATGATGGGTAAGGTTAAGTTTAGGGGTAGGGATTGGGTTAAGTCTGTATTTTTTGACAGTAATGTTGATCCAGGAACATGTCTTACTTGGCAAAATCACGGCGACCATACACACATATAGTATATAGGTTTTTGTGTGGTTCACCCATTGGTATTAGATTTTGCTGTTATATTTTATTGATTGAAGCCAATGTTAAGTGAATGACTTCACTGGCCTTTGTAGAAAAACTTTGGCCGTCTTTCTAAAGATTTTTTTCCATTTATGGGCAGATTGGGGAGAAGAATTTTTGAATCAGACTTGTGAAGAACAATATTTCTTGCATTCATATCATTGTGTTATAAAAAGTCATTAAAACATATTTTGCATGTCAGTAATATTATAAAAGACTTTTAATGTTTACTTAATAAAGCTCATTGTGTAATGCACAAGCACTATAGACCAAATCCTCCTCAGAGTCCTAGCTGCTGAAAGGAGCTGCAGCTGTAAAAATACCAGCAGAGCTAGCAGACCTGTGATACAGGATGCAGCCTGATGCTCAATTTAGCTTGTGGAATGCAAATGTGCTTAAATATCTACCCAATCTGTTGTGTTTTATTTTATTTGGGTATTTTATTATTCTAATTATATTTTTATGTTTGCTTTTGATTGGAATTTTCTCTTGCAGAGGGGAATCAGGTGCTGGAAAGACAGAAAATACCAAAAAAGTCATCCAGTACCTGGCTCACGTTGCATCGTCTCACAAAGGAAGGAAGGACCACAACATTCCAGTGAGTTCCATTTCTCTCTGCCATTCGCTGAATCATTCATGATGACATTCTTGTTGAATTTCACCAATAATATAGGTGTGGAGAGAGGGATATGTCAGCATATTTTGGGAAACTGTCACACCTCAGTAGGGGGCAGTACTGAGCAGGATAGAATAATGAGACTTGCAGGTTAAAAACTAGTACATTTAGAATCATATGCAAAGCTACATATATTCAATCGATTATTCCTCTAGGTTGCTAATCGGTTTTAAGAAAACTTTATATAATTAGGGTTCATCTTTAGGCAGTGTTTACATAAGATAATGGAATGGAAAAAAATGGAGACGTCTCTAGAAGCCCTTTTAGAGGGTAGACTATTGACATGCCATCTTTGAAAAAAAGAAAGAGTGGGATGCAATGGGCAAAGACATCTGTCTAATCATCTATTGTTGTAGTGCGGGTGCTTTTAAGCATCTTGACTTTTTTGAGAGGAATTTACAAATAGGTTGTTAGACAAATAGGCAGTTTTTATTTATTTTATTTAACTTATCTCTACTGCATTTACAGTCGAAGCGCTCATAATGTACTCTTTAATTTGTAATTTCTCATATTTAATCTATTTTATCTAGTTACAATGACATCAGGGTGCTTTTGCTAGAAGAGTAATTTTAACCAAATTAACATACATCAGTGGATAACATGCACTTGTATGTCATTGATAGTGTTTTGTGTGGATTCTGATATTGATAATGTACTGATATTGTTGTCTAGATGATAATGTAGTAATAACTGCTGGCTCTTAACTGTGTTTATAAGTATTACTTGTGGGCCTATATTGAGAAAACATCTTAGTCGTTGCAGTGCTGGCCTGTAGTTTGCCAGTTTTGCAGTTTTACCGGTCTCTTAATTTGTGATAACATACATTACCTTCAAAAATAAATGCAAGCATGCTAAAGAGTTTTACATGCTGCGGTTATTGGTCTTAAAGTATTCGCATGGCCAAAGTTATGCAACATACTAAAGGCTTAGATCTGTCCCATGGTCTAAGATACTTGGAGAATGTGGCCTGATGCCTTCTAACATATTACATTTGTTTATTATATACAAACAGCCAGAATCTCCTAAAGCAGTCAAACTCCAGGCAAGTTCCCTTTAAGCTTTTTATACCTGCTCTGCTTGTGCATGCAAAACTAACCTGCTGTATAAACACCAATGGAATGTAGCCAATCCAAGGGGAAATTTTCAGCACGCTGGGATATTTTTGAAATAAGTAAACACATTGCTTTAAGGGGTTTAGATGGTTTACGTTTGAATTATATGTACATATTTTGTCACATTTGCTAAATGGTTTGGAATGTGTGCACACATCTTTAGTGTTGGATAAAACATATTAGAGAAAAACCTAGTTAACTTGTCAGGATAGCTGGGGGCGTAGTGATATTAGGGCTGGACAATAATTCAATATCAATATGTATCGCGATAAAAAAATTTTCAATAACGGTGATATGATTTTATATCGGAATTATATCGTATCGACCGAAATTAAGAAATATATCGTGATATAAATGTTGGCCATATCGTCCAGCCCTAAGTGATATATTTGCATGATGTGAAAATCTGACATTTTAAAGTCATTTTCATATTTACCTTAGTTGTATGGAAGTAAAGAGCTGATCATGTACAACCTGAGCTGATGTCTAAGAGATGTTAAAGAAAAGAAAAAAACTAATGAAATTGAGGGTTTTTAGCACTACACATATAAAGGTCAGTTCTGTTATTTAGACCAGCAACATTCTAAATCAGCCTCATTCACAAACTGAGAAAGTATCCTTCACATATATTTAGGGCTGGGCAATATAGCTAAAAAAATTTATCAACGATATAATGTTTCATATCGTTCGGTATCGATAATTATTGACATTTTTTACTCATCTGAACGCCTCTGATTGGCCATTGCATTCCTAAGCTCAACAGAATTGTGTTTGATTGGTTATAATGCGCAACACTGTAAAAACGCCTAAAATAAAATATGGTGCAACATAAGCAAATCTTAATTTAATGCGCAGTCGACACTTTCTATTCATTTGCACTTTGTTAGCAACAGACGTAATATATTTACTTTGTTTGTGCAGGGGCATTTTTGTCCAATTTAGTGGCATTTTTGCCCCAAGACCCCCTGCATGTTTTATATGCAGATTAAATAGGTTTTAAGGAAACTTTTGTCTTGTCTCCCGAGGCCACAGGAGGGCACAATGAGCAAAATAATAGCTCATTTAAATTGTCAACAAGGCAATAACTGTCTGTAAAAAAACGTGCATTACGTCTAAATGAACTCATAAAAATCAAATATAATTTCGTAAATTGCATAAACAATTATGAACAAAACAGCATCATGTATTTATGCATTGCTTAATCCAAAGAGCTGAAGCACCATTCACACAGATTGCATTTAAAAACATATGAGACGCAGTGAAAAGGAATAAACTTACACAAATTCGTGACGTGTTTTCTAAAAGTTTTAACTGTTTTAACTTTGCATGGCTTTCTATACATCTCTTGTGTGAGACGCGAGTGCAGCAGTCGTACTTGTCCGTCTAAAAAAATATGCTGAATATGCGTTCTGTGTGAATGGCTTGGTTTCGGTTTTAACCCATTCAAAATCTTCTCCGCATTGAACCCATTGATATTTCTCTAATATTTTGAATGAATAACACAGCAGCGGCGCGTCTCGTGGGCTAGACTAACAAAACATTAAAATTCAACAACGTCACTTACATCATTATCCCCGCATCTCGCGCGCCACTGATGACGCTCCCTGATGCACACCTAACATTCAAATGCAAATGTTTATTTTAAATTCGACTAATATTCATTCTTTATTCACAATCTCCTCATCACTGGCAGGAACAGCACTCATTTCAGCATGTGTTCATGTTTGTGTGTGCTGTCTGCATCACTCATAGTACGTGCCTATATCGTGCGCTATATCGAAATTTTTTTCTATTGTTATCGAAGAAGGTGTACCGTCGATAAATATCGATACCATTTTATCGCCCCGGCCTACATATATTCACAGCACATTTTGTTCAGCTTTTAAATCACCCCTTGCTTGTGTGTGTTTTGTCTGTTGTGTGTTTGTGTATTTCCCTCTATGTGACATTAACACCTCTGTTTCCATGATAATGATTTGATTACAGAACGGAATCCTGTTTTATGTGAGTAGCTTGTAGTCCCTTGTTTTTCCCCATTTTCTTTCTTATATCACGCTACTTCTTTGGGCATAGGAAACTGTGATTTTTGTTCATTTTACCCTCATCTTTTATTTATTTGCTTTTACTAACGACTTCTCATTCTGCCATATAACATCTACCTTCTTAATTATTCTTTTCTGTTCTCTGTGGATCCAATTTACTATACTTTTGGGGGTGATGTCAAGTAATTTACATGTCTGTAAAACGTAAAATTAAAAATAAATACTGCATGATGGTGCAGTGGTCACAGTGCTGAATTCCCATTTGTCAGATCACGTTACGCTGCTCCATCCATGCAGTTGGAAAGTTCTGGAATGTCCATTTACAAAGAGCCCTGCTACAAAGAGCAGCTCGAATGCCAGTAGTTCTTGGCATACTTTCTATAATGATGAAAGTACCTTTTTGACTTAATCTTATCAGACCTTCCTTTGCTAAAAATTACCATTGCTAATGCAATTTTGTCATACCACTTAAATGGTTAATTTATCTCCTGTTTAGATGAGAGTGGAACCTGTTATTTTTCTCATAAAGCTTCATCACTAATCCTTTTTAAAACTTCATTGCATTGTTCTGACTTTAGTTACTGGTTTTCTCAGATACACCCAGATATGTTTAAACAATTCAGCATCTGTTCAACAGTTAAACATCTTGCAGTCTATTTATAGGCTTTTTATAATATTACATTTCCATAAGCATGAAAATGTTAAAGCTTCAAAATCCCCTGGACTGTATCCACTATTTTGCTGTCATTTGGATTACGTAATGGGAACAGGGTGTAAATTCACAGTGGCCATTCTCTTACGCATGATGTGTTCCTGTCTCATGACAGCAGCAAGAACAATGGGACACCTGTCTAAACTTCCTATCAGGTGGACGTGGGCAACACTGAGGGTGACTAGAGGATGTAAGGGGGTGGATGTCCCAGATTTGTTGCTGGGAGAGCTGTGATGCAGACTAACTCTGTGATGTGGCACAGTGGGGCTTTGGGCGTCTGTCGTTGCTAATTTGAGGAGTTTCCTCTCCAACCCCCCAAAGCCTGTATTTCAGGCAGTCAGTGAGAATTTGCACAAAAAGCCTCTCATGACTACCCAGGCTTTAATTAGGTTTGTAGGGTAGTGTATTTTTACTCCATCCAGATGATCTGCTTCTGGTTTGAAGGTCAAATGAAGAGAAATGGCTTTGCTATGGAAGCAGACTGATCATTGTTAGCCACACCATCTCAACAAAATACTGTGAAGAATACAGTAAATAAATGGTATTTGTGATCAAGATGATATGGAACTTTTGAGTTTGGAGTCAGTCATCCCACTCCAAAACTTATGTGTATTAAAAAGTGGATGTAAATAAAGACCTTACTGATGATACAAACTAACCCAAGGTGATCTGCAGTATACTGTTTTAAGGTAATATATGCTCAAATGTTTGTAAAATTGGAAATGTTTCTCTTTGCTTTCACTCTGTTTACTGGTGAATAAATGGAACATTTTCACTGGGTTTCTTTTCAAGGTTTCACAAAGATTTTTTTATTGCTTTTTAGTTATACACTACCTTTGAACTTTAGTTCATTTTGTATCTGTTTTTGTATGAAACTTCATTTAATCATGTATTTAAATATTTAATGTTTCTAACCAGTGACTTTTGCATTACAGGGAGAGTTAGAGCGTCAACTCCTGCAGGCAAACCCTATTCTGGAATCCTTTGGGAATGCCAAGACAGTGAAAAATGACAACTCCTCACGCTTTGTAAGTTGGTCTATTAAGTCTGATGTGATAATTCCACCTCTGTTTTTCCAACTGTAACCCTGTTTCAGCACTGGTTAGTTCTCACCACAAAAGTGGGCATGGACAGACAAAACAACAGCATCTTTGGATTCAGTTTGATTTCGCTCTCAATGAGTTAAAAGCATCAATGCTTCCCACAAATGCACGCTGCGATTCACTATTACATGGAACAATAGTGAACATAGATTATACATGGTTACGTAAGCTCACTGTACATTAAATAAATACACACACAAATAAATGCACAGCTGTTTACATTTGCACTCTGCAAGGAACATATACAGTATAAGAATACGCTGTTGCATATTTAAAAACTTTTGTAGTTTATTTTGCGGTGTTTATGTAAGCCATTGGTCAGTTGCATCAGGAGGCTGTAAAGATTGGTTACACTCACGTTGTGGATGAATCCTGTGTTGGAGACTCAAGGCCTATAGAAGAGAATTTATGCCACACCTAGACCACTATAAAGCAATGACAAAAACACTTTCAGTCTGTGAGCGTTTCTCTCAATTACCGTACGTGATCTCTCAGTTTGAAGCGTCTGTCTTAGGAAATCAACACATGCTGTAGTGAATAATTAAGAAAGAGTAAAA